AGAATGTGACAGAGTGTGAATTCAAGAAGATCATAGAAGAGAATTTCAAATGAGCATGACCACTCTGCACTGCCCACTTCCCATAGTTCAGCGATGGAGGCTTCATTCAACAGCAGAAAGTCATTACTTCCTCCCAACCTAAGGCGAATTGTGAGCCCAGGCTCTAGAACCTATGGGTGGCAGGACACAGAGAGGAAAGACTGAGATAGACAGAAAAAACAGCCATGTGTAAAATGGTCTGAATGGCTCATCTCTCTATTTTACCATCCAAATTGGATGGAAATAAATATCTTGCAAGAGATTGTACTCCGGACTCCCATCTCACTTTTGTGGCCGTATGAAACCAGGGAGGAATGGAAGCAATGCACAACCTTTGGGGGCTGTTGTCCTCCAATATAAGGGAAATGGGCACCCAGGAGTTAGGAAATAAAAGATCCCATAGTAGGCAACTCTCTCTATTTTACCATCCAAATTGGATGGAAATAAATATCTTGCAAGAGATTGTACTCCGGACTCCCATCTCACTTTTGTGGCCGTATGAAACCAGGGAGGAATGGAAGCAATGCACAACCTTTGGGGGCTGTTGTCCTCCAATATAAGGGAAATGGGCACCCAGGAGTTAGGAAATAAAAGATCCCATAGTAGGCAACCCCCTTACTGTTCCGCTTACCTGCCAGGAAAACATCCTCAGTCACAGTGGAAGGTGGCCTTTAATTAAAGTGTTTCTGATAGGCCGGTAACTATCATTCCCCCTGTTATTCTACTGATGACTGAGGCGGTATTAACAATCTGTGTGCTAAATCAAGGCACTCTACTGGTTGGCCCCAACATTATTGAAATAAAAAGAGTCTTTAAAACACTCGCTGGAGACATGGAGAAAAAAAACTCAACGTGTGGCCTTTGGGGGAGGTCCAGGCAAGAGGTCATAGACTGTTAGGGTATGTCTACACTACAGCACTAATTGGAACTAACTTAATTAGAATTAGTTAATTCGAACTAAGCTAATTCGAACTAGTGCATCTAGACCTAAAAACTAGTTCGAATTAGCGTTTTGCTAATTCGAACTAGCATGTCCACATTGAGTGGACCCTGAACCGAGGTTAAGGCTGGCCGGAAGCAGTGCCGGCAGGGCATCAGATTAGGACTCAGAGCGTGGAGCTGCTGTCTCAGGCTAGCCGAGGGCTGTACTTAAAGGGACCCGATCCCCACCCTGGACAGACAGTTCTCAGGGGTTCCCCCCTCGCTTGTCTAACTCGATGAGGGACAGCAAAGCAGTCCTGGCTGGGAGTGCCCTGAATGCCCACACTCGGCACATCACAGCACTCGGCCATCAGCCCAGCTGCACATGCCGCAGGTTGCCATCTGGGGAGGGGTGACAATTGGGGTGCTGCAGGAGAGTGTGAGGCCACATCTGGAGTATTGTGTCCAGTTCTGGGCCCCCCACTACAAAAAGGATGTGAATGCATTGGAGAGGGTCCAGCGGAGGGCAACCAAAATGATTAGAGGACTGAAGCATATGACCTACGAGGAGAGGCTGAGGGAGTTTGGTCTGTTTAGTCTGCAGAAGTTAAGAGTGAGGGGGGATTTGATAGCAGCTTTCAATTTCCTGTAGGGAGGTTCCAAAGAGGATGGAGAAAGGCTGTTCTCAGTAGTGACAGATGGCAGAACAAGGAGCAATGGTCTCAAGCTGTGTTGAGAGAGTTCCAGGTTGGATATTAGGAAAACCTATTTTACTAGGAGGGTGGTGAAGCAGTGGAATGGATTACCTAGGGAAGTAGTGGAGTCTCCATCCCTATGGGTGTTTAAGTCTCGGCTTGAGAAAGCCCTGGCTGTGTTCATTTAGTTGGGATTGGTCTTGCCTAGAGCAGGGGACTGGACTTGATGACCTTCTGAGATCATTTCCAGCTCTATTGTTCTATGATTCTATGGGTATGTCTACACTACCCATGTAGGCAACCGGAGTTGCAAATGAAGCCCGGGATTTGAATTTCCCGGGCTTCATTTGCATAAAGTCGGGCGCCACCATTTTTAAATGTCCGCTAGTGCAGACTCCATGCCGCGCGGCTACACGCGGCACAGACTAGGTAGTTCGGACTAGGCTTCCTCGTATAACAGTACCTAGTCCTCATGTAACGGTAGTTCGGACTAGGAAGACTAGTCCGAACTATCTAATCCGTGCCGCGTGTAGCCGCGCGGCACGTAGTCCGCACTAGCGGAACTTTAAAAATGGCGGCGCCCGGCTTTATGCAAATGAAGC